TGTTGCTAAAGTTTCGTCGGAACGAATTTACGGAAAATTAACTTTGTAACTGCACGTACTTTTCTGAAACATAAATCTTTTGTAAAGTTACACATTTTTACAACAAAGTAAACCAGTAGCTATCTAATCATATTTGTTTTATATAGTTCACCACTAATATCTTTCTTACAAAAAACTGCACACCATTTACAGGTCCACCAATGGGACAGAGGTAAGTCTTCAGATTTACAATGCTAAAATCAGGAGTTCAGTTACCCACGGTGGACACAGCAGTTAGCCCAATGTGGCTTTGCTATAAGAAAACACACACCCATTTACAGCTCATTCATTGACCTATATAGAAAATTTGTTAGGTATCAGTCCTCTGTCTTATGGACCCGGCATGGCCAGGTGGTTAGGGCACTCGACTCGCAATCTGTGGGTCGCGGGCTCGAATCTCCGTTACACCAAACATGTTACGTTACACCATGCTCGCCCTTTCAGCCGTGGGGGCGTTATAATGTGACGGTCAATCCCACTATTCGTTGATAAAAGAGTAGCCCAAGAGTTGGCGGTGGGTGGTGATGACTAGCTGCCTTCCCTCTAGTCTTAAACTGCTAAATTAGGGACGGCTAGCGCAGATAGCCCTCGTGTAGCTTTGGCGAAATCCATAACACACACCCTCTGTCTTACTTCATGTGGTTAAAAACCTTTTTTATTGCAGTCAACTGGTTAAACATCATGAAAAGAAAAGCCAACGTAATTAATCTACTACTAAAGAGGGAACAACTGATTCATATTTATTATGTATATTCATGTGTAGTTCTTATCATCAAGTATAACGCTTATTATAAGGCCCGGCATGGCCAGGTGGTTAGGGTGCTTGACTCGAAATCTGAGGGTCGCGGGTTCGAATCTCCGTCCCACCAAACATGCTCGCCCTTTCAGTAGAGGGGACATTATAAGTGACGGTCAATCCCACTATTTGTTGGTAAAAGAGTAGCCTAAGAGTTGGCGGTGGGTGGTGATGACTAGCTGCCTCTCCTCTAGTCTTTCACTGCTAAATTATGGACGGCTAGCGCAGATAACCCTCGTGTAGCTTTGCGCGAAATTCAAAACAAACAAACTTCCTTAAACTATCCTGAAAGATATTAAGTAGTTCTTTTATACCTAGATTTCCATTTTCATAAATTAGTTTGGCCTTCTAACAACAAGCATTTTTATATTTAACAGTTTTCTCACTTGGTTTAAAAGCGAGTCACGTAAATTGTGTTAGTTTCAGAAGATCTACCTTTTTTTTTTTTTTATAAAGTTATTATATTTCAACTTTCTCAACACTACTAAATTAAAATGAGAAATATTAACGTAGGATGCTACGTTTTTTGCATGAAAAGTTTTAATTTTCAATCTTACGATTTAACAAAATATAAGTTTTGTCAATACTTTAGTTTTTATTTATACCTATGATTCGGCATAAATGTGAAATAAAAAACGTAATTACTCTGTTGGGTATAGAATACCTGAAATTTTTTTATTGTAAACCTAGAAAAAGAAGTGTAGTTAAACACTGTGTTTAAGAGCTTACAATGATACAGTAACGAGGAAGTTACTAGGAAAAAAATCGCTAGCTGGCCTTGACCTAGACCTGGATTGATTTAAATTCCATCCCTGTAGGCTCTACAATGTTTGTATAGTCTGGCACACTAGCTACTAAGCCACTTCCGGCCCTACATATGAGGTATACTAAATTTTTTCTTTTGTGTCTTCTTGCTGGTTTTTACGTGCAAAAATTGAAAAATTGGCCACATAATTGTAAAGGTAACTTTAAAAAAAATATATATTAGTGGCTGAAGCATAATATATCAAAAGTATATACACCCTCCGGTGGCACAGTGGTATGTCGTCGGACTTACAACGCTAAAAACCGGGTTTCGATACCCGTCGTGGACGGAGCACAGATAGTTCATTGTGTAGCTCTGTGCTTAATTACAAACAAACAAAAGTTTCTGACAAAAAAGTTATTCTTTAACTTCGCTTTTATTGTTAAGTTTTCTAAAAATGTGCTAAACACTTAAAGAATATTAAAACATCCTTTAATAGACATTTGTATTTTGAGAAAAAGCAGCTGAAACAAAATAAAAATTTGGAGAACAATTATAATTCAAATAAAGCGATGTAACTGACGTAAAACTTCAACCTGAAGTTCCAATTTAAAATGTTTAAAAGTTTAGTTAGAATTAAAACATTAAAAGCGTGTGTATCATTGAGTTCAAATATATGGTTGAATATGGGTCTAGAGCCATGCACGTGAACAGTTCGAATATTACAGTAGTAACCATGTAGGACTGTGATAAAATATTAATGACAAGGTTTTCATTGGATATGGGACCTAGTGAAATTCCTGCGCACCATGATATCATGCATTAACACACTCTAGATGTCAAGACCTTTTTTTAAACGGTTAAATTTAATATTCGTTTTGAGTATTTTAGTTATAAAGATAATTCACTATAAAGAAAGTCAAGCCGCCTTTAACATTTTTTTGTGGATAATTATACTGTTAGTATCAAGTACACTAATTTGTTGGTTCGCCAGTTCTTCTGAATAATAAACATGGTTAATTCTGTACAATAATTAATAATATACGGGGTTAAAATAAATAAATAATATAGCGGTAAAAAGCCTTACTCTAGTTCCGGGTATTGTAGCTTAAATAAAATTGATGAAAAATTACATTTCACCAACTTACTCCAGTTCACACCGTAAAAATTCAGTTTCAGATTGCTAATAGAGATTAGCGTCTGTTGTATACCAGATTGAAGAGCCCTGATATCTGGCGAAAGGTCTCGTCGGTACTGGATTTAGCAAATGTAGCATAGTTGACGTATTAATTATATACAAAATTGACTTTCACTCGGATGTTCTTATTAATAATTTTCTAGTAACTTGATGGTATAATATAAAAAAAATCTTGGATTTATCAAGAGTACTGTGAAACACGTTCACTGTATTGATCTCGTAATTTAAAGTCATATATTTCAAGCATTATTTAGAATGTAAGTTATATTACAGATCTTTAAGTTGAATGCTTTATATTATCTGCATTTTCACGTACGCAATTGGCATTTTACAACTAGTGATGTTCTATTTTGAGTTAAGATGCTACAGCCTAGAAATTGCGGTGTTATGTACTAATAACAACAATACCATTCTTCCTAGGGTGCAGGCGCTAACTACGCGATTAACGTTCACTCTACTTCCAAAACAAATAATGCTGTATCCTTGGGGCATATCCTGAACTGCCAGTATGAAAAATCATTGTCGATTTCTTTATAGTGTATTCGACACTATAAAAATCTTTCCACGAGAAAATACATGTGAAACACTAGTTGAATGATCCAGTTCTGTGAGTAACAAGGGCGAGAGGAACTTAGTAACTCCCTTCAGCGACTTTC